TTTTTTAACTTTATTGTGGAATCCCTTATGCGGCCCACCCTCACCCAGACTCTGCCTCCATCAGCCCCCAGGTAAATTGAGTTTGAGACCCCTGGTTTAGATGGTGTTGTAGAAACCACAAACCAGAGGGCAAGGGATGGATGGAGATGGATGGATATGGATGGATGGATGGATGGATAGATAGAGCTTGCAGGCAGGAGACAGCTGTGACCTTGTCAAAGAAAAGAATAGTCCTTCTGGGAAGAATCAGGCTCCTTGAGTATCTCTTATACTCACCTATTTATCCCAAAACTCAAGGTGATTCCTGCAGAGATAAGTGTGTTTTGTCATCTGCTGAAGCAAACGGGAAGCGTACTCTTTCAGCTTTACATCCTCAGATGCACATTTTCAGCCAGGAATGTAGAAATGTTTAATTAGAAACTAAGGTAACTTAAAAAGTGGAACATTTCCAGAGTCCAGTAAAATACTGAAACCAAGTAATTCACATTTTAAATCGCTGTGGAATCGCTGCATGAGCTCCAGGCTCAGGAAGAGATTTGCACACATCTTTGTAGCTAATAAATCCGGGGCTAAGCTGCCAACAGCTTTTCCTTCAGCCCCTCCTCTTCACGTGGTGGCCCCTGCTCAACTCACCCACAGTTGCCTTGACTTTCAGCCCTGCTTAATGACCTGTTGTGTCTCAATAAAGCGAGCAGGCTTAACAGAATCTGAGCTGTCATTCTTGATGCTGCGAACACGCGAGCAGATCAACTGAACTTCACTGTGCGACCACATCATATGACCCTGCCTACTCCTAATGCTCTTAGCATTGCGCTGATGGCCGGCAGTGGCTGCACTCAGTCAGACCAAAAAGCCAAAGGAGTTTAATGGATGTGTTGCTGCGATTATTCCACCAAGTATCTTTATCCCACTTTTAGATTAGCTGCTAATGACGGAGGAAATTAGCAAGAAACACAAGGTCACATAACCTGAAGGCAAGGTTCATGCCTGAGTGAAGGACATTGTCCACAGGTTTGACCACGGAGTTTGACAGTTGGAGAAGCTCTAACTGGCACAAAATTGCTGAAATCAAATGAACAATTTAAAAATGCACTTTGTTCACAGTTCACCAGCTCATCACAAGGACAAAACCAGACACAGAGATTCACACATAACAATTCAGTTATTCCTGCAACCAAAACAGAATGATGAGCAGGTACCACCAGAGTTGAACTGGTGACCTTCACCCTGTGAGGCAAGGGTACTCATCAGTCCTCCAATGTGGGACCTTCCATTAAAATACAAATAATCCTGTAAATTAAAAAAATACTATTATATTTTCTTTCCCCTTAGCTTTAATTAAATTGTATTTCAAAGCTTTTTAAAAAAAAGAAATATTGGGGAACAACATTGCTTGCAATTTTTACAAAAGTAAAACACAAAAAAAATAACTGCAGTCCAGTCAATGAATTGCAATTTTTACAAAAGTAAAAATTTTTACAAAAACACAAAAAAATAACTGCAGTCCAGTCAATGACTGTTGAGGAAAAACGAACTCATCTGCATCATAATGTGGCTGGTCTTGAATAAGAGTGGCAAATCCTTAACTAGAAAATAAAAACAGTGTACTTTAGGGAAGAATACACATCTGTAATAAAATTATATTTCTTAAATAAAATCAAACGTCTCTCATGAGAATGAAACGAAATGGCCTCAACCCTCAGAGTGAATACTCACTCATCTTCTCGTTGCCTTGTGTTTAAGACAAACAGCTCACTTCAAGAGAATATTTTCTAAACAACATATTTAAATAGAGGACCAATGTGTTTTTACACCCTGCATGTTGATGCGTTTGCTGCATCAAAGCAGGAAAGAGAAAATAGGTTTTTACTTCACCTGAGATTTATTTGCAATAGGCAGAGAAAAACTTCCTCTGAGTCGATGCCCAGTCAGAAATCCTTAACAAATTAAGCTAAAGTTAAATCAGTGGGGAGAAAACGTCACTCATTTAAAGCCTAATGAAACCATGTAGAAAAACACATACAAACACAGAGAGGTGGCATCAGTGTGCCACTGTGGAGTGCTCTTACATTAGCTGTGTTATGTCTTTATTTAGCCCCCCCTCCCCCTCCCCACCCCTGCACTGATGTTCACCTTTTCTTCTTCCAGCAGATCCATGTCACAGCTAATGGACATCAAGTGCTTCCTTTCTGTAGCTCTCTTATGGACATATATCAGAGAAAGGAAGCCCATTTCTCTGCTCGCCCCTAAATGGAATAAACACACACACACACACACATGCTCACAACTGTGCACATACTCAGACAGACTCACACGTATGAAAACTGTTGGCTGTTTTCTCAGATCATTTTTCCTATAATTTCTATATGTAATAATTATAATTTTATAAAAACAACCATCTCTGCCATATTTCTGACAAATTCTAAATTATATATGCGTATAAAATAAAATCAAAATTCTGTATTTTCATATTAAATACCTTTCACTGCTGTAACACATGAGAAAATAACAGTTTAATGAGTCAAAAAGTTCAATTTTTGCATAAAACAAAATCCAGTGCATTTCAGTGTCAATACTTCTCAGCATCACAGCATTAGTCGGGGATCAGTTCTTCTCCGAGGTAAACACTCAACAACTTTAGTTTTGTTTGTCCTGAATGTTCATCAAGCTGGTGTACGACTTTGCTCTCTTGGCTAAAAAAAACAAAACAACAACAACAAGAGAATTCACATTAGTGAGCAGGTTTAAACACAAAAACACTTCACACACACACACACACCGCAGAACAACATCAACTAGGTGTGTCCAAAGTCTGGCCATAGGTACCAGCAGCGGCACCTGGACAAGTGTCATGTGGTCAAAGTCTTGACCTGGAATCAGTGTTCCAGACAACAGTCCTTTACCAATTAATCATTTTTACAGGGACCTGAGTCAAAATCCCAGCTCACATGGGTGTGAAGGTGGAGGAGACTGAAGAGAAAAACTGGAACATTATCTTCAGACCTTGTTGGATTTAACAACATCAAAAATGTCCTCAAACCACAGGCCAGGTTGGTTGGAATCTCTGTTCATTGAACAAAGAGTAGCAGTAAATGTTTGCCAATTTAAAACAAATCACTCTTTGGTTTAAGGTCAAAGTCCACTTGACCATCACCAGCCATGTGCTGTGCACTTCAGTGACCTGTGTTTGAGATGTTTCAGGAAGGTGAACAGCATCCTAATTAAATCACTGCAGCCTTGTGTGATGGTCCACAGGTTTGTGGGTTGTACTTGGGAACAATCGGCAACAAACCCACCTCCTTCTTCTCCTCCTCCATCCTAGCTAAACTTTATTACCACAGTGAGTCAACCTCCTCCCTCACAAAAGACCTCAAACTCCCAAAAACAAAAAACAACTTGTCAAAAATATCTGTGTGTGTTAGAGAGAGAGGTAGACAATGGTTGAATCAAGCTGGTTACTCACGGTGTATGAGCTTGCGTTTCTTTTGTTCCGAGTGAAGGAAGCTGCTCAAGTAGAAGATGATGGGCAGGAAGAGCATGAAGCTGGACACGGCGATGACGGGCACCGTCTCCTCACGAGGCAGCGAACAGTTGAAAGTCTTGCTCCACATCTTACGTGTACTGTTAATCTGAAAGGAGGGAAATGACCCAAAGAACACAAACGTCATGTCAGCTGACCACAGTTGTTTCTGTTGAATCCACACTGAAGATAATTAGCTCAGTTTCTGACTCTTCAAAAACGTTTTTTATATTAATTTTAAATAATAAATCATTTTAAATAATAAAGTTCTGGCACTGCATCTGTAAAATCAATTTTAGTAAAATGTTCTGAGAACAAAATAAAATCCCCAAAAACATTTGACGTTTGACTTTGTTATTAGAAAACAAAAGAAAATTCATAAGTATCCTAATTATTAAAAAAAAAACTTTGAGAAAAGAACTGAGTTCTGACTTTGGACAAAGAGTTCTGGTGAAATACTAATCCTAATCCTCTTCTGTGTAACTCTCTTTGTGAATTGTATTTTCAGTGTTCTCCGTGTCCTCTAGGGGGTGCAGCTTCCTCTATTACAATACATTATAATCTAATACAGAAAGATCCACCTACCGCGTCTTCAATGTCAATGCACAGAGTGAGGTTCTTCTCCATTCTGCTGAACAGCTCGTTCAGCTGCCTGTACGTGTCCTTGCAGTTGGTGCACAGCTCGCTGTGGTTTCCCTGTGAAAACAACGAGACCAAAGTCAAACTCAAAATCCTGCTTTATTGGCAGTCCTACAGCATTTCTGTTACTGTGTCTTAGTCTTTCACTGGACTATGAGGAATAAATACAAGCAACAGGAGTAAAACAGTTTTGCAATGACTGACGAGACAACAAGAAACTCCAGAAAGGCTAGACTTCCACACACTTGATTACAGAACTGTTATACATATATATATACACACACATATATATATATATACATATACATATATATATATATATACACACATATATATATATATACATATATATATATATACATATACATATATATACACACATATATATATATATGACAGCGATTGTTAACTGTTAACAATTGTTACCTGGTGATACTTCTCAAAGCAGGAGTGAGTCTGGTTCAGAATAGTCATGAAGTAAAGGGTGTCATTGGTCAGAGCCAGGAATCCTTCGGTGACACAGTCTGTGTCAGAGAAAAAAACCCAAAAACAAATGAAGAGTCGTTAATAAAATACAAGCAGGAAAAATAAGATTTAATAATAGGTGTGTGTGTGTTTCACACCTAGGGTTAAGATTGGGATTTACTTCACATTGTAAAGGTCTCCATCTCATTAGATCACTCCGTTAACCCACTATAATCAAACATGGAGCAGTTCACACATTTTTGGTTTTAAATAGTCTGATAAAACATAACAGTTTCACCAGACTATTGATTTGTAATAAAATACATTTCAAACAAAAACAATCCAGGAATTCTAATTATTACAGCTAGATCAATGTAAAGATTTTAACAATTATTATAAGATAAACCAGATGAAGATCAATGTCAATAAATTAACTTAGTATTAAAACCCACTCTTACTACTCCTATTGGCAGCCAGAGATACCAATGAGTTAAGTGACATTAACTAATAATAGTTTGAAAAAACGTTTTTTCGTTTTTTTTAACCAAATGGAGGCTAACGTTGTTAAAGCAGAAAACAGTGAAGAGATCAAACACTTCATTATAATATTAGAGACACACTGCACTGTAGGTCACAGTCAAATCTGCAACAGAACTGACGACTGCAAAGCCCTTCATTTCGTTGAGTAATGCATGTAAAGAGACCAAATCCAAAGAGACATTGACGATGTCCCACATCTAAAAACAATACAGAACAGCACAAATTAGAACAACCCACGTTCACAGCCTGATTTGGTCCACAGATCCTCCAGGTTGTGATACAGAAGATAGACCACCATCAGCCGATCACTGTGTAGAAGACTGATGCTGCAGCTCACATTACCAGGACCCACCTGAGGACGACCACAGACCAACAGTCACACAGTCAGATTCATCATCGTCACATTCATGTGCATGAACTTTCCCGCTCTTCAAAACATATAGAAATCATAAATCATTCTGAGATTTTATTTATAGAAAGGTAGTACAGAGGCTTCCTCCCTTTTCAGATCTAGATCACGTGTTCAGCACAGAGCAACAGACACCGTCAGTAATACCATGGTTTTGTTTTTAAGTTTTGAAAATGAAACAAATAAATCCCCAGAGAAAGTGGAAGCCATACATCAAGTAAAGTAGCTAATTAAATATCCACTGCTTTTCATATTCGACGCCACAGTCACAGCAACACACTTTCAATGAGATCAGATTTTCACATTGTTGCCTGATTTTAGTATAACCTTGTACAAATGATGGCACACAATGACTTCATCTCATTGGTAGAATAATGACACACTGCACGTGCATAGACAGAACAGTGTGAGTGGAGCTTGAAGGTACAGTAATAAGGAACTGTCTAACACATAAACCAGTAACAAACAAAAAAAATCCATATTCATTTTTCTTAGGTCGGTGGACAATATTGAACTTCTCTGATTATAGGGGCAGACTGTGTCAGTCAGGGTCTACTCTTTACTGTCTGCTGCCTTGTGGTCTAGTCCAGTCTACACAAGAAAGAGACACAGCTTTGTTTCCTGTTATTCGTCACGTCTCAGGTCAGCTGATAGTCAGTCACATCCCGGTCCTCGTGACTCAGGAGAGTAGAACACATTAACGACGGCCCCATCACAGAACAACAACAGCCCCGTGTTTACACCGTACCTCATCCGAGATGTTCCGGTAGATGTCAATGAGGCTGCCGTAGCTGGAGAAGCAGTTCTGACACACTTTGACGGGCCGAGCAGCAGGAACCAGGCAGTTCACATATGAAACGTACCGCTGTCCAAATATGTGCAGCAGGTCACTGCAGTACTCACTGATCTCCAGGTCCTCGGGGAAGGAAGACAAGAGCAGACTGAGAGACGAAGACCAGCCCAGTGCTGGCTTGAACACAGCGGCGTGGACCGCAGCAGGGCTATCACCGACATTTAGAACATTTAAGTCGACGACGTCGCAGGACACGCGTGTGTGAAACTGTGCGACCAAGAAAATAAAAAGAAAACAACTTGTGTGAAAAGACATGATTGAATAAAGTCAACGCCAGAGCATCTGTAACTCTCTTCTTGTTTTTACAACAAGCACTTCCTGCTTTAGTTCCAATGTGATCATGTGACAGTGTGAACTATCGCGATATTATATCACATGATTCAAATAAGAATGGCATGACGAGATCAGTGACGTTGTTGGACGAAGTTTAAATATACAAAAGATACATTTATGAATTTGATGAATAATGATTTGTTACTCCCAAGAAATTCATGTTTATATGTTTGTGTTTGACTAGGGAGAAACTATTCTAAAATTAAACAGTCAACGTGTTTCAGTTTATTTAATAAATATATATATATTTAGGTGAAGGGAACTCCCACTATTCCTATTCCAATTGTTGGTAACGTTTAATGGACAATGATGACATTTCAGCTTATCCTCCAGTTTTCTTGCAGATTTTTTCTTGGCTGTTTTTATTTAGTCATTTGAAATATATTTAGACTAACATTAGCTCTTTTAATGACCTTTTAGTCTAATTTTTATATTTTATTATATATCCCATGTGGTCTTGTCATTATTATCAGTAGGATGTTTCCCATTTTGTGTTCTCTCTCAGAGCAAAAATCACAGAGTCAGGTAAATGATCTGGGCACCGATCCTGATTGTGAATATTGTCAAAAAACCCCTCAAATCAGGCAACGACAGTCAATGGCCGTTAATGTGAAATTAGTGGCTCTTGATAACTTGCAGGGCGCATGAATTACGCAGTCATCAGTGCCTAATGAAAATGAGGGGGGAGAAAGTGTGCAGCATTAGCAGCCTATTCTCATATCTGTGAGAGCTGCAGCCTACAGATGGATTCTGGCCCTTGATGCTCCTCTCTCTTCATACACAGCACCGGCAGCTCATTAACTCTTCTTGGCCTGACCAAAGTTCACTTAATTGTTCAGATGTTCCCCAGGCCTTTGTTATTTCTCTAATGGGAGTAAAATAATAACAATCATCCAACTCTCAGCAGGGGTAGCTTTAAAAAAATCAGAAAACATGTCATTGCTTGGATTATTATCAACATTATATTGATTATACTTTTTTTAGACTCTGTTTTTTAAAAGCACTGAATTATTAATTGTCAATTGCTGTTCTCTAAATCTATTACATTTTTCTTAAATGTAAAACATTTACCCTTTATAAATATTTATAGCTATACAAATCTTTAGCTGTTATTGCCTTTGTTGTTGTATCAAACCGTGTTAGTCTGTTTTAATATTTTTACCTAATATGGAGTGCTGCAGTGTGGTAGTCCTGTTAGTTCCCTCCTTGTGAGAGGCACAGTTTGGACAATCACAAAGGGGTTAACTACTCAAACATAGCTCAGCCTTAAACTTGGCTCTTGGCGTGGGGAGAGAAAGTAGCTGTAGAGTTATGCAGAAGTTATTCTTCATCCTTCGGTCCGTCCCTAATCCGCCAAAAACCTCATTCTTTCATCGGAGAACTGTGCCTCCTTTCTTGTTTCCCTCGCTCTATACAACATAAAGTCAGACTGCATTTAATGGTTATGTCGGGATGGGAGAGGGTCTTTCTTCTTCCCCCTTTCTGCCTAATATTGCCCTTTTCGTCGTGTGAGTCTCCCAGCCAGCAGGGACCCCCATATTCACCCCTCTGCGTCTGACTCGAATCACAAACTAACCCTGATTTTCACAACTTTGCTGGGAATTGCAGGGAGTGATAATAGAGATTTCGCTTTCATTTTATACGCTTGACTTGGTTATTGTTGCTTCTCTCCTCTCCCGTGATTCTCCTCTTCTTCGGGGATTAGCCCTGACTTTGCCCGCTATACCGGCCGCAGAAGTGCCCCTCAGCCGTGGTATGACAATTGGTGCAGATCAAGGCAGGCCTATTCTGTGTCTTTGAAAAGAACACATCTGAAGCAGGTTTAAATCAAGAGCTGTTAATGGGAAAAAAATCAGCTGAGCGGGAAATAGATGATAATTTCAGATTTGAGGTCTAGTCCAGTGAGGTTGGTTGACCAGCGATGGAGACGCCAAAGGCAGGATGATGGCCAGTGATGGTAAGTTGAATCAGACTGAGGTGATGATGATGGAGAACGTGATGACAATGATTATAAGGTGTAGGATCAGAGGGACGTTGAAGAGAGTTTGGAAGCTGAGGTGATGACGACAGTGATGCTGTAATGGTAGTGTTGGAACTGATGATGAAGAGGAAGAATTTAAAAATGTTCTGTGCAAGTAGTTTGTATTTCTGTGGCCCTTTGTAAAAATTTACTGTGAGTATTTGGAATAAGCACATTGACGGGGAAAAGTATTACTAACTAACTAAGATTAGTAGTAATACTAGCAACTAGTACTAAGATACACTAACAAATTAGATTTATATTTTAAGGATACAGTCTGATTGATTCAGATCTGTTCATTCACTGTCACACCACAGAGCAGACACTCTCATCTCAGCTTCATCTTAGGAACAAATCTTTGTTGACGACACTGTGTCGTACATTCTCGTACACTCGTGTGTGGTGTTGGTCTACGGTGGAAAGGCCTGGTCCTGCTCTCACTTAGAGGGAGGATAATTACCAAACACGAACCCACCAGCAGCTACACAAAAGCCGCTTTGACTTCCTCACTGCTGGTCGCCTCCAGGGGATGGTCCCACTCCCTGCTCGCCCTGCTCACCCAGAACACTTCTCATCACTCCTGAGAGGCAAAGACATCTTGTTCCATAACAAGACACGAAAGTGACTTCTTTCAGCTCCACTGAACTGCACATAAACCCAGTCTGACAACCTCCAGTGCCCAAACAGAACAGAGGGAGGACGGGTGGGCTGGTACACAGAACAAGGGAGGGCTGGGCTGAGGCCCACACAGCCTAAATAAAGTTGTTATTCACTTTAGCCTCACCTCTTTACCAAACCATTACAGCTGCTACATTTGATCAGTTCCTTTTTTATCTACCTTAGATTCTTCAGCAGATTTTCATTTGCCAACTCCTCCCTCCTTTTTAACATCTTGCTTTTGTCAGATTTTGTCCCTTTTTGTCTTCTTGACTTTTTAGACGTTTAGTTTTGCTCTTTTCAACAACACTTTTTGTTTCACACTTTTTACCTTTATCTTTTTTTCACTCTTAGAAACTATTTGCCTTTAATTTTATTTCTTTGCCTTATTTTAAACTTTCACTCCACAGTCGTCTTGAGCCCAACACCTCCTCCCCCTCCCCTCCCCTCCACCCCCAACCCTGTTGTGTCCCCCCTTCTCACAGCTCAGCGTGTTACAGCAGTGAAAGCATGACGTGCTGTAATGTAATGGGCCAGGAGCGATTGTTTCTGACAAGCAACTAAACACGTCGCCCCTCCCCTCAAATTAGTCCCCACTCCTCTCCCCCTCGGGGGGGACGTGGGGTTCATGCCCTAGTAGACGCATGGTCAGAGGAGTCTGACAGCACAGGGCATGAACATGCAGCAGAGGCTTGCCTTTACGTGTGTGTGTGTGTGTGTGTGTGTGTGGTTTCTTTGGACTTTGGTGAATTAAGTGTGTTTGTATGTAAAGAAAGTCTGATTAAACTATCATTTGTACATCATTGCTGAGACACTTTTTGTTTTCAAAATTAACGTATTTTCTGCCCTACAATCAAAAGGACGTATAACAAAGACCACATTTGATTTTTTTTTACTTTTATCTCTTAATTTGACCTTTTATCCATATGACAATTCTCCATTATCTTTATTGCATCTTGTAGTTTTTGTTTCTAACTCATGACATGTGGTGGTATAATTCACCAGAACATTCTCCATCGAATCATTTTGGCTTCTTATCTCAAACATTCAATTGATTTTTTTTTTCACATTTAAGATTTTATGAGTGACATATGGTTTACACTGTTGTCAGGATTTTACAGCACAGTATCACTAGGATTCAAAATAAACAGCTCTATCAACGCTTCACTTTTATATTCATAGTGCCCCAGAGGTGAGTAGACAGTTGGTCGGTCAATAAAAGGCAGTTAGCTGGTCAGTTAGTGAGAGGTTCTAGCTGTAAAGCAGGCTGTGATTTGTGAACGAAGGGGAAAGAGGAGTGGTGGAGGGCTTGGCGTTCAGGAAAGAAAAGGAGTTGGCCCAGTTGCAGGCAGCGATGTTAACTTTGAGTGGCCCCTGTGGCTCAAGCTCAGCACACCCCCCTCCTTCTCCTTACTTCCCAAGCCCCCAGGTTGCCTTTGCATGACATCATCCCCAAACTATGCCCCCCATACCCATGTGAATCTGAGCTGTCACAATCGGCAGCCACCAGCACCCCCGCCCCTCCCATTAAACTGTACTGCGCCGCGAACTCCATACGTTTCTTTCTCTTCTCCCTCTCCGTCTACCACCAATCTCCTCCCTTCTTCTTCTTTTTTAACCCCCAGAAAGCTATTGTTTGAGTCAGGACTTGATCAAAAAACTGTTGCCCGCCAACCACAGGGCTTTCTGTAAATTCAATAAGGCCACCTTAAAGATTTTCCTAATTAATGGATGACATCTTTGGCTGGAGGAGAGGCGAGGCATTCTGCTCCAGCTCGCTCTTTGTTCGCCTCCTAATTAACTTTCCTAGGTCACTCAGGTCCCCGCAACCTGAGAGTGAAGAGCCCCCATTGAGGAGGGAGTTGTAAACTTACTTTTTTTGCCTCGGCACTTAAAAGGGGAAAGCAACTATAGGGAACAGAAAATATCCTATTTAAGTCCTTTGTGAGTGAACTGCTTGCACATGTTCCAATAAAGGAAGTCTTCTAAATAAGCTGCCATGTTGCTCTCCGCTCCCCCCTTTTCTCCCTTATCCCACCTCTTTCACTCCCTGCTCCACAGAAAGGTTATGAATGATAGCTCCAGGTTGGAGGGGGGGTGAAGGGCTAAAGGACAGCATCTGGGCATTGTGGAGTGGTGAGCATCTGAAACTTTGAGGGAATTTGAGGATGGGAAAGTGCTGAGCCGATGGGTGGTGGGGCAGACGATGGAGAAAATGTGGTGAATATGAGAAGAAAAAAAAACAAGTACCTCTCTGCCCTGGTCATTGTTTGGGTGTTTCTAAAAGAGCCAATGTCTCCCAGCTGCTTTCATCACTCCTCATCTTCTTCTCTAAAAGGCAACACAAGAGTCCCACAGGAAAAGGCTTTAAACATCAATATAAAAAAAAAAAATCTTTATCAAGACACAGATGTGGACAATAAATATTCTTCTTCTTATGGTCAGAAACAAGTAGAGGCCAACTACCATCAAGCTGAATACATCAGGTGTTCGAACTTTTTAAACGGGACATAATTCAAAAACGGAAAAAATACTTGAGGACTTGAGGAGACTTAGGATTAAAATGAGGCTGCTGTTAAATTAGAAATTGAACAAAAGCAGCTGAAATATAACTTAAAATAAAAAAGAAATAATGAAGTCTGATACAAGTTTCCCTTAAAACAGTTATTTTGCAAAGAAATATTAAAAGTTGGCTCTCAGAAAGATTACGAAAAAAAAGCTAAAAAAAGAAATCAATGTTAACTAAATTAACTCTGTTTGTTAAGTCACAAAAAGACCAACCAATTATTAGAGTTAGGTCAGAAGTAGCTAAAGGTTGTTTGAAGAAACCCAAAGAGTTAGTGCACAAACAGTAAAGCAAACGTAGTTTAAAATAGTAAAATATATATTATAAACTAGTTCCTTAAAAACCATTTTAAATGATCCAACATGCTAGTTTTCTACACTGAGCTTATTTTAAATGTAAGCCACATGTCATAAAGAACAGGTAAAGTAAAATGTATTTTCATACATGACATTAAGGACGACTGCTGCAAGGTGTTTGTTTATATATGTTTCACAATTTATCCTTAAAAACCAAACAAACACCGCCTTTGATGACAGCGCTGACCAACAAATGACACTCGTCCTCATCAACATTCTCATCATGTCACCTGACACACACTCATACATTGACCTCCGACGTCTATTCACAAAATCTCCTCCTGCACTTCATGTACCCTCTGAACACACAGGGTCACATGCCCTGCTCTCCTAATGGAACACAAGTGTTTGTGTGTGTGTACTGTGTGTCTGTGTGTAGCAGGAGTTGTGAGGTGACAGCTCCTGTGCACTGTAGTCTCTGTGGCTTCATGAGGAGGGGGGAGCCCCGATCCCCAGACTGTGAGCGATGACCCTGACCCTCGGAGCAGAAACTCCAGGAGTGACTGCTGAACAGAGGCTGATAAACAGCAGAATGACTGAGGCAGTGACTCCAGGTGAACTGCAGCTGTGGGGGGAGCTGATGACAGCCTTTCTGTGTGTAATCTGTCTGACGACCGAGACCACTGTTCACTCACACCGCTACCGCCGCCGCCGCTGCTGCTGCGGCTGTATGAACACAGCCATTCAGATGCTGTGTGTTTGTGTGGGTGTATTTTAGAAGAGAAGCTAAGATACAGTAAAACTTTAGCTAAGGGTTTTCACCTTTTACTTTAAAGTTTTAAACATACTTTAAAGACAAGGATTACAGGTACAAAAACATTAGAATGTTACTGTACATGAAATATGGATTCGAGGATATGATAGCCCTTGTTTACCCCCCCACCCAACCTTCCCTCGTGTTGAAACATTCACAGTTATAATTATTAAAAAAATAATTTGAAACAGAAAAACAAATTAGTGCATTTTCTCATAAAAGCAAATTATTAAAATGAAATGTATTTGCTTTGCTGCATCCCGCCTTGCTCCCCTCCCCCTGGGGGGGCCCACCCCTCACTTTGGGAACCACTGTGGTAAATCAAGCTGTGGTGTTCACACTGACTGGTGTTGCACTAAGATGCAGTCCAATCCTGAAATATTGATAAAATATTACCTCGGTTATCTGAGTACACTATACTTCACAAACACATGGCTAACACAAAGCTACTGCACATCTACTCATCTGCCCCTAATTCAGCTTCACTGGGAGATGAGCGATTACTGATGCCTGTCTCTTTAATTATTCACAGTCCCTGTGGGATGGTCATCATATGGAGGCCGTCTAAGTATGCGCTGTATCTGGTGTCATGTTTTAGCAGTTTGTGATGGCTAAGCTTCGTGATTGGTGCTGGAAATATACTGTGGTCACAAGGGAGCGGACATGTTCGGCATAAGTATACTCCTGCAGGGAGACACATCAGAGCAAATAATGTTTTCAGTCAGACTCACCAACAACCACGTTACAGTCCAGGTCACTTCAACACCTTTATGATCGTAACACAGTGAGCCTCTGATAACTTACTCTGAGTCTCCATGCAGTGGTCCATCAACCCACTTTGTCATATTGTGACCATGACAGGTGGAATATGAAACATATGTGTAATGTATATCACTTGGCGATCTCTTCTGCTCTCACGTGTTTGTCTTTGCAGTGTGAACAGACTAAGCCCCTCTGCTCAGCTGTCATAATTTATTAACAAGTCTTTTCAGGGAGAGGAAAAAAGAAAAAGAGAAGACAGGGGTGAAGGAAGAAAAGAAGACTCTTAACGAGTGACTGAAAGCTCAGATCCATCCAGAGAGGGAACCCAGGGGCGACATCAGACCGATTTCAGACCGGCCCGTGATGGCATCTCTGTATATTTTAATATTAATGACCCCAGCCGCAAAGCCTCCTCTAAGCCTCCAACAGGTGCCCCTGCCCCACTCCAGCCTAAAACCCCAGGATCATTCAACATCCCACTATCCACCACCGCCACTGGGCAATAAAGACCGCAAATGAAGAGGATGAAGGCAGAGAGGAGGAAAAAAAGACATAAAGAGTGGAAGGGGAGTTAGAGAGTCAGTCATCTCTGGCAAATACGTTTTTGAGTCACTTTCTCCAGCTGAAACACGGGTCGATATTCTCCCCCCTTGAGAAAGAGATTGACTTTTGTTTGGAGTTTGTGAGAAGTGGGAATCAGAAGCCGGACAATGGGACTCCCCACAGTGAGAGGCTGAGAGGAGCCATCTCAAATCAGTCAGCCAGGGGACTGACTAATCCGTCCATTGTCCCTCCCCAGCCACCGGCCGCACATCAACACATTCGCCCCCCATTGTCCCCCACCCTCAGCAGTGGGATTTGGTCTCCCCAACAGCCAGTTTTGTCCACGGCAGTTCGAGCGGAAGTTTCTCACTGACAATTTGCCCCAAATAGATTTGTCAGAGCGTCCAACTGCACCGCACCGACCTGTGGCTTTCTGGGTCTGGGTCTGGGTCTCTGTGTGTGTGTGTGTGTTTCCTATGTAGATGTGTACAAGTATGCAGACAGATGTGTAAGGATCATTGAAGAGTAAGGAGAGTCAGTTGTCTGGTCGTGCAGAGGTTCATTTGTTGACTTTACTGTAACTCAACAATGACATCCTCTGTTCTTCTTTATTAATCAGGTTCTACAGTATGTGGCTCTAACTGCCAGAATAATAATCACTGTTAAACTAACAAAATGACAAGTGATTATTTATACTGTATTCTAGAATTAAACTCATGGGTATGCATATTTTTCTGTAAAAAGTAATCTAGGAATGAATCCAACGACACGGGAAAAAATAAAAGATATTCAAGTTTAAAATATTTTAAAAAAAAAACAAGTTCTCTAAATTGCCTCTAGTTAAAACACACAGCAGTATCAATACTAATAGCTCATAACACAGTCAGTATTACATACAGTAAAGTAAAGCCGGAGTAGAAAGATATTATCAAACATGTTACATTCGCCCAAAAACAGTTTAAAATAGCAGTTCAGAATAGAGTTCAGAAATGCTTCGGTGTCAGCTAAAATGTTAAATGCTTTTTGCTAAAAGGTAACCAGAAGTTGGTCAACACTGGATCCTGATTGGATACATTCCTGTGTCAGTCACAGATTTAAAGAAGTGAATGAAAGCAATGAATTAAGACTGTGACCAACATAAGCTCATGGACAGGTGACCTGTGTACAGTGTCAGAACTGTCCTTGGTGCTGAAACACTGCCGCATAATTCCATCTCTTCTTTTAATCACACGTGACATCTTTGAACACATGGCAGCAGATAAAGCAATAAGATTTAATATATATATCTATATATTTTTTTTCCATTATATTGTAAGGACTATGTCCGTCATTATTCATTTACAGTTAAGATATTTAATTTCTAAGATGAAGCATCATCAGTATGTCAGTATCTGGGGATTAACAATGATCTCTGTAGTCCATTTAAAGGATGTAAAGCAGCATTGGCCTCTCTTTAGAGGCCTTAATTATTTGCTCCCCATTATTTGCTCTCTGGAGCTTAGTGACTTCTCCCTAAAGCCAATTGCTTTACGCCTGGACGGTTAAGGAGGCTGCACTGATACCAGAGCCCAAAAAGATGGTGAAGCTATGCTGTGCAGTCAACGTCAGCCACATTCTATGTAACACTCTGGATCTGGGATTCAGGCACCAGCTTTTTAAAATGACAAACAGGTTTTATTCTGGCCAAAGTAACTGCTATTAATGCTATTTATTATGACCTTTTAGACTTACTTTGTATTTTAGTTTGTCAGTGGAATAAAAACTTTTTTGGTGATGCGCTGCATTGATTTTTTCTAACTATATAAACATCAAACTGAATTCAGTTGGACTCCTGTTCTACAGGTGGTTCCTCATGTCAGATACTGACACATCTCTGTGTTGTTCATACATTTTTCCTCTTGGCCAAAGCCTATATTCTACACTGTGTCAAGTATGTTCATACTGATGCAATGACTCTCATCAAAAATGAAGGAAAAAAACAGATACAAAATCCACTGCCCCCTTTGTTCACGTCATTTCATTGACTGCTGGAGGAGAACAGAGTCACTAATACACAAAAAGTGAAAGAGGCAACCCCGGCAACCATGATGTTGGTTATATTTGTGTAAAGGCTATCAGTGAATGACGAGGATTAGGACGAGTTAAGGAGATTATGTCACACATTCAGCATTCACAGAGGCCGGACAGAACACCCACACACATGCGCACACCCCTCACACACACACCAGCACGGCTGCAAAGTGGTATTGATCGGTGAGGATGAAAACGTGATTTCCAGTTTTTCTTTTTGTTTTTGTTTTTCAAACAGAAATAATGACATTTTTATAACCGATGGGTGATAATTAAAACGAGAACAGGTGGCTATTACGCACAAAGAAAATCAGGAAAGGTCTTACAAGCAGCGCGCACAATAAAGGCGCATTGTAGCCTTTATTGTAGGGACTATTTATGAGAGATAGGAAAAGGCGGGACCGCCGTCTCTCTCTGTGGGTCTGCAGGAGGAAATCAAAGCCATATCACAGTGATTTCTCCTCCTCAGGCTTGTTAGTCCCCACAGCCGTAGCTGTTCAGCTAAAGGGCAGGTTGGAAGAATCAACAATGGCTAATTGCAATTAACTACGCCTCCCCGCCTCACCCCTGTCCGCTTAAATCGACACTTTGTGCGTCCATATGGCCTTCAGTGTACCGTGGGAATGGAGACAATTAAAAACAGAATATGGATTTCTGGAGTTAGCCGCTGAAAGCGCAGCAAGCTGTCAAGGTCAGAGTGTCAGTGAGGGAGAGCAGTGGGGCCTGCCGGGGCCTGGAGGGCCCACGGACTGACCCACGGACTGACCCACGGACTGACCCACGGACTGACCCACGACCCGCCTGACGGACACAGCACCACACCGCAATTATTATTATTATTATTATTATTATTATTATTATACATAATAATAATAAAAGGGTGCAACATCTTGATAATCTATTAAACAATTTTTGTTTGTTTATTTATTTATCTGTTTTGTCAGAAACTTTGATTTGCAATTTTTGGCTAACTTTTAACTATTTGTTAATGACTCCGAGGTATAATTATTTATATAACTTCATGGACATGAAGATTTACGGCTTGAAATAAATCGATTTAATATTTAGTGGCTTAAAAGCATTATTTTCCCGTTCTGTCATTTGTGATCGCAGATCACGTCATTCTGTGACGTTACCCTATACACGCCTTCTACTGTGCCTTTAGATCCACGAGCAAGGCACTTTCCCAGCAGCAACAGTCTCACACTCTCGCTCATACTCACACACATACACACGCCAGTGACGTCAGGCTGGAGTTTGGAGTAGAAAGCCAAGTGGATGAAGGAAGTGGAGATCTCCTCCCTCTACACGCTGCCTCCCCCTGACACTTCTCATAAATATTACCGAGGCTTATTTGGGGGGACTCGCACCACAAAGTCACATCGTGTCTTGGTTTGGAAAAGCTTTCATCTGTCAAAATTTCCAAAAACTGATATTACTCACTAAGTTTCCCCGCTCCTCGCTCCAGTCTGGCACAGTCGGACGCGCTCCGGGCTTTTCCTGCTGGGAACTTTGCGCACCGGCTGTTGCGCTCGGAGCCGCGGCTCCTCGTCTGACTCAGTCCTCAGGCTTCAGTGCGCGTCAAGGCGCAAGACCGCCGTGCGCCATAATGTGCCATCGAGCGTCGTAACCTCTCCACGGAGCGGAGATTTACTTTGTCAGGTTGAAAAGACTCGGGACACTGACTGGACCGTCTGGACAAGAACCTCAACAGGTGCCGAGAAGACAAAAAGAGTGAGAGCTCCAGCATTTCTTCTTCTTCTTCTCTCTGAACTGATCCATGATGAGCAAATCCGCCGGCTCAACAAGTGGCTGTTTGGATATTCTGAATGTCAAATCAAGTAAGTGGAGCTTTTATTATTATTATTGTTATTATTATTATTTTAAACTATCTGCAGACAAACTGAGAACGAATCAAAGTTATGTTCATTTTCTTGACCCGCAGAGCAAAATTAAAGGTACGAAGGCAGCGTTAATGTGTCTCTAATGACTTCACAAAATCCACAAAACAACAATAAAATAATCTGGTTCAACCAACGAAAAATGATTAAAAGATCCAAATTTCCACTTCTCTCGCTCTCTCTTTCTCTTTCTCTCTCTCACAAACAAACACACACACACACACGGCTGCGTAAAGTTTGGCGTTGTGGCAAAATCCATTTTATAAACAAGTCAAAACCAAAACTGTGGATTTTGACGCATTCGAGTTTGGATGGAATATAATGTGGTTTAAACACTGACGTCACTCTGAGCTGTGTGTGTTCACGCACCGATGGCACTTGTTGCCTGTGATTTATTTCTGACGACGTCTTTGTAAAAGTCTAGCGGAGAATTTCTCGAATTTAGATTTTATTGTAATAAATAACATTCATTCGTTTCATTTGCACAAATACAAAAACACGCTATTTGTCTTGATTGGCGCGTTTCGTTCATCAACCTGCACGTTCTTCTATTTACGTAAATAATTGATTATTTAAGAATTGATTAAAGTTTTGAGCTCGTTTTTCTTTTGATAACATTTATTTTTATATGGTTTTAATGATAACTTTTTTTTACATTGTAATTTTGTTTTCACGCGTTCGTATTTTTACAAGGCCCGGAAATTTAATGTAACCATTGCCCAGTGTATTTTTATTTTCTACCAAGTTATTTTTTTTCAGCCTGTTTTATTTCTCTTGTTTTCATTTCAGTAAACTCAGCTTTTTACTGCATCCAGTTAGAATCTGGACTTCTCTAAATGCACGGACATTTCATATCCATTTACTTCAACAGCTTTTCCATTTAATGATTCTGTTTATTTAAAAAAAAAGTAATGTCACAAATGTTCAGTCGGTTACTGCACACAGTGGTCACAAATTGGAGTTAAATTAATTTTTCCATACTCATTACATTTTATTTGACTCACTTTCACATCGTTTTTCATATTTATTTGATTGTTTCTGTGTAATGTTCTGCGCCGTTTTGCTTCAATTACGCACACACTTTTTCAAGAAAATTAAAGTTGGATATATCTATTTTTATTTTATAGTCATTAATAATTGATTGAGATTTGTACAGTTATTGTTGTAAAAAATATTTTCCGCGATTCAGAAATGGTTCTTCAATATACACTACATTTTTTGACCCTAAATGTCCAGTTGTTGACTCTAAAATCGCAGCAGTCATTAATATTCCATCCAAACTTGTCTCTCTCTCCACCTCCATGCCTGTGGCCTACAGTCAAAGCCCTGCTCGGCCTCCTGGTATGACAACTCTCTCCCGAGATCATTGTTTTTGCTGCTCGCTGCTTATTCCCATGATTCCCTGTTTGACGGGTCACTGCTGAATCAATAAGCAGGTGGCAAAACGTCAGTGTAATTACATACACGGGCTTTTTCCCTCCAGAACCAAATCAAAAGGGGACTCCCTCATATGCATACAAATATGGCTCTTTTTCATAGATTTGAATACAAAATCTTCATCCACCGAAAAGAAAAAAGAAAATCACACTTTTTGTCAACATCTACACCGGGGTCGATTTACATACACTTCATTTGAGTTGCTGAAACGAGTTGGTGCGCATTATTCTCGTGGTGCAGTGTCACTCCCTAATCCTGGGGCCTATAGACCTGCGGGATAAAGCAGCTGTCGAGTCCCATTATGAAGGGGAGTTGGCAGCTTGTCGAGATCCAGGCAGTCAGACGAGGTTCAATGGGGGAAAATCATTAAGTTAACACTTTCCCCTAATGTCTCCATTGTGCGCCCTCGGGCCATTGTCTTACAGAGCTCAAATATGACGCTTCCCACCGGACTTTTTTCTTACTTCAAATGTGCACAGTGAATTCCCATGGTCAGATGAGGATCAGGTCACTGTAGTCCAGTCTAGTTACTTGACAAAACAAGCACTTTTTTGAGGGGGCGGGGGTGGGGGGGGTGGGCTGATTGCTCCACAGATTCCAAAGGGTCAAACTGTAAGGGTCCCCCCCCCCCAAATCAAGTCCACGATGCGGGGGTTTGCACCCGCAGCCTTCAAAGAAATCTTGCAGACCC